GCGCCGCCGCCTGCACTTTGTCATCGTCGACCATGAGCGCGACGCTGTGCACCGCGTCACTAGGAGGAAGCGCAGTGTTGGATGTCATTGTGGACTAAGCAAAACGAATTATGACGTTTGAGATTGCATTTCTGGGCTCGGCCGGAATGTGTGTGCTGGGTGAGTGTTGGTAATTTCAGAAAGGAATCAAGTGGTTGTGACCAGACATGTGAATAAAATAATCTGGATATATTTGAATTTAAATTCCGACAAATAAATCCCGAAAAATCATTTATTTGCCGGCTCCGGCAAATACAAGTTATTTATTTTCGCGGCAAGTCGACCCAGGAAAAATTAATATTTATTGTCCAAATAAAACTCGAATTGGTGAATTTGAAAAAGGGTCGACCCAGGTATCTATCATCGACCTATGAAATCAGCCGTGTCAGTCGAGTCGACGAAGCGGTCGACTCGACAGAGCGGTTGTGCGGATCCAGCAGTCTCGCCGACAGCACAGTCTTGACAGCACAGTCGAGTTGACAGTGCAGTCGTGTCAAAAGTGCTGATGGTCGACAGGTTAACCAACTCTTTGATGGACCTGCCAAAGGGACTCCATTCCCGTAATAAAATGTATTCCTTGTTTTGATACGATGCACGCACGCAAGCAACGCTCGTCCCGCACGTCGGCGCGGCAAAATTGACTGGTATGGAAATGAAGGACAAGTACTTTGACTTCATCGAGGAGGTGACCGTCCCGCATCCTAAGACGGGCGACAACCGTGTCGTGCACCGCTAGGAGTGTCGCAAGTGCAGGGTGATCAAGGTCGTCAACAAACATGCTGGCTACGAAAACCTCGAGTACCATGTCGTACGCCACCACGCCGTCGATGTAGTGACGCCGCAGTGACTCTAGATCACGACGGCGCCGGGCACCGGAGTCAAGAGGACGGCTACGATGACTCGATGTTGTTGGAATGAGTCTATTGCGATATTTTTCCTACAGGTTTTTCTGCTTTGTTTACACGGTGCGTTGAGAGGCGGGCGTCTTTTGGCGAGAGTGCGTATTTTTGGTGATTTGTTGTGGGAGGTTTTCCTTCGAGGGTAAATGAGTAACGACGCCCGCTTTGCCAATCCCGAACGGGTTACGGCACGGCGGTTCTTCCGATTGGGTACACCGCGCAGAGGCAGGAGGTCGGCCAATTGAATTTGCATGCGCGCAGCTGGATTTGAACCCGCTATCCGTTCGAGCTCGAATTTATAGGCAACCCCGCGACGCGTGCACCTCGACCGACAAGGTCGGATCGTCGTATCCGCCGCTCGAGATACCGCAGCCGCCTACAAGCACCTGTGTGCCGTCTACGACCAAGTGCGCCGGCTCCACAACATTCGTATCGACGTGCCGCTACCTCGCCCGGCAATGACGACGCACCCGTGCAGGAAGCTCGTCAAGGACGTCGTGCAACCCTTCCAGAACTGGCCCCGACGCGACGTCCGCGACCTGGCCATGCACGC